AACTAAAGACACCAAGTCTGCCAACCCTGCCCCCCTTTTTCTTTCTGGGAGACTTAAGTCTCTTTGCCTAATAGGATCTCCCAGCCCAGCAGCCAAGGCCAGGCCTGGTGATCGCAGGCCTGAAAGAGCATCTGACCTAGTTAACTCCTTCCTTACCGGGCCCTAACTCCCACAGAGAAACCACAGGCTGGAGTGCTCCTCAGGACCCCAGGACATGGTACTAGGGCCCCACCTCAACCAGACCTCAGACAAGGACTTGTAGCCGTTACCCCGTAGGAAGCACAGTCCAGGTCCCAAGGCAAGCCCCAATTCAGCTTTTTTCTAAAAAAGACCCCATACTCCCAATTCTGAGGGTCCCTGCCAACCTGTCCCCTACACCAGAAAAAATAAGCCTTAGTCCCTCCTCTCAGGGAACTCACACCAGCTCTTGGCTCCAGTGGGCTGCTGTGTCAGTCGAGGGCCTGCCACAACATGTGCAAATGTGCACCTTGGGTCATGGGGACAGTGGTCTGGCCATGACACTATCTACTCCAGATAGTGATTCCCTTCTGGGATCAAACATGAACTCCTGTTTGGAATTTAAGGGCAGCTAGGTGGCTCAGGGGCTAGAGACTGGGCCTGGAGTCAGTGACACCTGAGTTAAAATCCAGCCTCAGATACTTCCTAGATGCGTGACCCTGGGCAAGTCATTTAACCCTGTTTGCCTCAGTTTCCTCATCTGTATAATGGGCTGGAGAAGGAAATGGCAAACTGCTCCAGCATCTTTGCTAAGAAATCCCCAAATGGGGTCACCAAGAGTCAGACACAACTGAAAACCAACTGAATAACAAAGAGTGGTCTACTGGGAATTGACATAACTTGAAATTTAAAAACTTTTCATAACCAGGTGTCAACCCTTTTTCAGCCTTATTGCCTCTCCCCACCTGCCTGTGAGCAATAATGTTAATAATAATGGCAGTTCATATTTATAAAGCTCTTTAGGGTTTCCACATTACTTATTTTTTGCTAATTACAATCTATGAGTAGATTCTGAGGTTAAGTGACTTGCTCAAGGTCACAGATAAGGTCTGAAGCATAATTGGAACTCAGGTCTTCCTGATTCCCAGGCACATACTTTAACAACATTGTCTCTCAAAATAAGCATCACAGGTCTAGAGCTGGAAGACAGTTCCTCCCTATGGGGAAAGGGGATGCTTATTCAGACAAAATCTGCCCTAGAGCCCCCAGATTCCACCTCACCTCACAAGTCAGGAGTCTACAGGCCCCCAAGTCATACCTCCCATCACCCTCAGGGTTCCTCTTACTTGGCCTCAAGCCAGGCCCTTCCTCAAGGCTACCACTTGTCTACCAGAACAACCCTCTAGCAGTCCTGAGGCCATTCACACCAGAGCTCAGGAAAAAGCCTCTGCAAACCTAACCCAAAATAAGATGGAAAGGCACTTAGACCCCCTCTACAAGCTTCTAGCTCTGATATCAGTCTATGAGTTATTTTTTTTTCTTTCTTTTAAACACAGGAAGAGGAAAATGGGGTTAGGAGGAGCTCATACTCTTCCCCCTCCAGCCTTCAAAAGAAAAGCAAAAAATTTAAATCCCCCAAGTCAGGTGTGTATGTGTGCGCACGCGCGCACACACACGCGCACACACACACACACACACACACACACACACACACACACACACTCCAGTCTATACAGTAAAAGGCTTGTGAGTCACTGCAATCGTAAGGAATTCCCAGGGTGCTGGCAGAACAGGTTAGGCAGGCGAGGTGTCCCTGTGATGGGGTTAGCCCACTGGTAACCTATGCTTCCGCCCACCTCACCCTGTCCCATCCTACTTGGGGGTGGAGATACAAGTCCTCAAGGTGTCAGAGCTGGGGATTCCCCGGCTCCGGGGGCCTCTGGCTCCAGAGGGAGCTGTTCTTACAGAGGACAGACCTACCCAAGTACTGAGGATGGGAGTAGGGATGGGGAGAGACTTGGGCAGAACCTTCATTCAGCTGCCACTGAGAATCCCCCAGGAGCCTGGCCACACCACAGCCACTGTATCTCCAGTGTACGACCAGGGCATCACCTGTTCCGGAAGAGGATACTAATGGGCCTCAGCCCCTAAATCAACCTTTTTTGCTAAATTGAGACGCAAACAAGAAATAATGGAGAACACTGCATTTGGGGAGAGGGAGGAAGTTCAAACCCCAACACACTCATGTTAGCTAGCTCTCTGTGAAACCCTAGGCAACTCACCTTAACCTCTCAGCTTAATAAGTCATAATCACTAGCCTCTCAGGGTTTTTTTTTTGGGAGGGGAATGAAAGCGCTTTGTAAACCTTAAAGAGTCATATAAATGACATCTATTATAATAGATCAACCTAATACCCAGAACCACTGGGGCACAACGATAATGATGATGATGATGATGATGATGATGATGAGGGAAGAGGCCCAGAAATGGGAGCAGAAACCTGGGCCAGTAAGGAGAGGCATTCCTCACTGTGTCATCTGTGGGGTCAGTCTGGGTTACCCAGGGGCTAGCCTCCCTCCTGGGGGGACAAGCAGGAGCACATGTCTGACCTGTGTTTCTCTTAAGTACTTCCCCAGGCTCAGAAGGAAGCGAGAGCTGGTGTCTTATGTCCAAGTGTGGAAGTCACAGGGCCGGAGGCAGGACAAGACTGGATTTAAAATCCAAACACACACTACCTCCCTGACCTTGAGCCAGGGCCCTTCCTCTTTCCTTAAAGCCTCAATTTCCTATTGTGTAAAAAGAAATTGTGATGATAGAAACCCTCTCTGGGCAACTAGGTGGTAGAGTGACGAGATAGCTCTGGACCTGGAAAACCAAGTTCAAATCTGGCCTCAGACAATTCCAAGCTGTGTGACACTTCACTCTGTTTGCCTTAATTTCCTCACCTGTAAAATGAGCTGGAGAAGGACATGGCTAGCTACTCCAGGATCTTGGCCAAGAAAACCCCAAAAGGAGTCACAGGGAGAGTCAGACATTGCTAAAACTGAACACAAACCCTCTCTCAAATCCCTTCCAACTCTTATATCCTATGAAAAGTTATCAGGTTGACCCAGAGGGAGGATCCTGGACTCCCCTCCTTGCTACTGCCAAGGGAATGGGTTTGGAGAAGGAGGAATAATAAATAATGGACACGTACCTAGCATTTTCTCATGAGTCTTACAATAACCCATGGAGAGGCAGATATTTAAAGGTAATCTCCCCAGTTTACAGGTAGGGAAACTGAGGGTCACCTTGGAAATGACTTGCCCATGGTCTCACAGCTAGTTTAGTGTCTGAAGTAGGAATGTAACCCAAGCCTTCCCAATTCCAGGTCCAGCTAAGTAATGGAGAATACAGGAGTTTTGTTTTCATTTTTTATTTTTGTCTAATAGTCCAGTTACCTCAAAAGTAAGTAAAGTCAGTGATTCCACAACAGCGGGGCCATTTTCCCGAAAACCCAATCATCCTGGGCTTCCCAAAGCCAGAGATAGAAAATGTATCACATGCTACCTGTATGACCTTGATCAAAAAAAATCTGATCTCTTTAGACCTCAGTTTCCCCATCAGTAAAATTAGCAAATGGAACTACATAGCCTCTAAGGCCCCATTCCAACTGTAAGGCGAATTCTACTGATTCTATTGAGTGACTCAGGTCTAATACAAACTCTTCCTTCTCCCTCAAAGGAAAAAAGAAGCAAGACGGGGAAGAAAAGGTTAATATAGAACCTTCCTTCCCCTCCCCCTCAATCTGTCTTGTGTTGTTATGCACCTGTTATGAGATGCCTGAGCCACCCCAGCCCCCTCCCCAAGAGCAAACGGGAGCTGGGCACAGGGCAGAGGGAGGAAAGAGGGGGTGGGCAGGAAGTCCCTCCCCATCTTCGAGGCTGCCTGGGACATGTTATCTTCTGTCCCCAGTTTTCCAGGTATCTGCAAGCCCGTGACCCTGGCCCTTCTCCTCTTAAGCTCCACCCAGCCATCTCCAACAGAGATCTTTACCAGGGCTGCCCCTATCGGTCAAAGCAGCACAAAAGGAGGCCTCCTCCCATCCCCCAGCCCCCAGCCTCCAGTCTCCCCCCACCATGGCCCAGTCCAACCTGGGGCACCGGAAACTTTCCGTCCTCGGTAAACATGTTTCAAAACCATTAGTCAGCAAGACCAGCTGTTACTGACACAAACACCAGAGCCTCCAATCCCCTCTCTGGGATCCCTACCCTGGGTACCAACTCTGACAACAGGATCCAAATTCCCCCAATCCCCACCCCCTGCCCCTCTGCCCCCACTTCCAAGCATGTCCAAGGTTCCTGAGTTGCCAAGCCAAAGGAAAAACCAGGGCCTGGGCACAGAGAGCCCCTGCCCTCCCTCTTCATCCCCCTTGGCCCTTGGGTGAGGGGCACCGTGGGAAAAGTAGTCTGGCCTCTGAGGGAGAGCCCTAGAGACAACACAGGGGAGGGAGGGGCAGAGCCCCTGATCCCGGCACGCCTGGCCATAAAGGAATCTCACTTTAGACTCTGACGCGAAGAGGCGGCTGGACCCTTGCCAGCCTCCAGGAGCAATGTCAACAAACAGAAGAGAGCCCAGCTGAGGCTGTCTTAAAGGCCCCTCAAGCCTCAAAGACCCAGAAGAAACAGTCCAGGTGGGCCCATAGAAGCTTCTTTCAGCATCCCCCCTCTCCCATGAGGCTTTGGAGAAAAGCCCCATTCAGCGCCTTCTCTATCTGAGGGCCCTCAGCCAGGCCCCTGACCAGCACCAGCAGAAGGGGCCAGACATGCACCCGGCAAGCCCTCAAGAGCCCCCAGGCTCTAGTGTGCCAGGGAACAGCTGCCCAGGGCAGCTGGAGGCTCCAGGAAGGCCAAGTGGGCACCAAAACATCTTGTGGAGTCAGCAGAGATCAGCTCAGGCCTGGACCTGCCCCCTCCTTAGGGTAAGGCATGTGGTCCAGAGGCTTCCCTCCCCCATCCCCAACCCAAAAAACAAAAGATTAGCCACAGAATCAAAATCAGTACCTGGAAATCATACAAGGCCACGATATTTTCATGTTTCAATTCCTAGAAAAGGAGAAGAGGTTAAAAACAGATTAAATGATAATAGGTGTCTATAGCACAATTAAGGCATGCGAAGTGCTTGACAGGAAAACCCGTCAGTCAGTCAATACAGGAGACTATTAAGTTGTTTACTGACAGACTGAATAACCCCACAGAGAAAGCTCTGGAGGCACTGGCCCCATTTTCCAGATGAAGGTTCCAAAGTTAAGTGACTTGCCAAGTGGACAGACAGGTAGGCAGTGGTAGGGCTATTTGAACCCAAGCGTTCCTTTTTAGGTCACAATGGAGAACAGAACATGGGACCGGGACCCCAACCAGCCTTCCCCATAGATACACGGATATAATGTACACATTCACCCACAAACTAAGCCACCAGATTCTCCCAAGCCCCTCCATTCACCTTCAGGATTTTGATTTCCTTCCCCAACAGGGTCTGAGACTTGGCCAGGTTTTTCTTGTTAATGCACTTGACCGCCACCTCCAGATCATGTTTCTGAAACCCAAAGACCCATGTTCTCAGGAAGCCCAGGCTCAGGAGGGCCTACCCCATTCCTGGAAAACCAGGCCCCAACCACAGAAAGTCACATTTCCAAGCTTGGTCAAGGGCCCACAGCCCCCATCCGGGCAGGTGCCCAGACTCGTCAGGACATGATCCCATTGGCCCGGGTTTCCTCCTGGATCCACCAACAGCCACCTCGAACCTCTCCCCCCCCCCCAAAAAAAAAAAGCCAATCTGGGAAGAATTTGACTTCTTAAAGAAGCTCTCCACTGTCTGGAAAGGGGAGGGAGTGCCCCTTCCCAAGGGGAACACTGAGCTTCGAGCTGGGGCATAGATGGTGAATCTTTAAGGGGAGGCTACTCCTCACTCACTGGGGCTGTGAGGATCCTGCACTCTAAGGGTAACCAACACAACCTCAAAACCCTCTCTCCTCTGGCTCCTTTCTAAACCCTTATGGGGGAGGGGGGATGTTAGGGGGAGGGGGACTGTGGCCAAGCCGGCTCCAGGGGAAATGTGCTGACTCGGCATCTCTGGGTACAACCACAGGCTCCCCGGCCGGCTGGGGTGCAGAAGGCTGAAACAGGGAAGGAAGGGGGAAGGCGGCCAAAGCAAACCCACCCCCACGCCCTTTCTCACCTCTTTGTGCCTCCCTTTAAAGACCACGGCGAAGGCGCCGTGGCCAATGAGGTCCTTCCTGCTGAACTCAAACTTCCCCACAGTCTCCATCCCCTTGGGGGCGTCCGGCACGCAGCTGGTGGGGGGTCCGAGGAAGAGAGGGCTGTGGTCGTGGGCTGGACGCAGGAGAAGGCGGCGGGCGCCAGGAGCCGGATTCCAGCACCGGGCAGGCTCACGAATGAGCCCGGGGCTGGCCAGGCCCACGGAGGGTTCCCACGAACTCGGGGTCGCTGGGCCTGTGGCTCCTTTCCCCTACTCCCCGGTCCATGTACAAATGGGTGGGGGGCATTGTTGGCAGCTGGATGGGATGGGGGGTGGGGGGCTGGGATCTGTCCTCCTGCTCCCGGTCTTCTCTCTCTGTGGCCTCTTAACTCTGGGCACCCCGAGGGTCAAGCCCCGTGGGGAAAGGGTCAAAGTCCTCCCGGTCCGGCCCCAGCGCCAGAATCCTGCGAGCGTCTGATGCAAGAGGGGGGGGAAGATGAGAAATAGGGGATAGAAAGGGGAAAAGGACCACCCCCGCCGCCCCCCTGCACGGGGGCCAGTCCACCTTAAGCAGTCAAGTCCACCTTAAGAGGCGCCAGCCCCCGCGGTCCTTGTTTGTACACAGCTCCGGCGGAGCGCGAGGTCGGGCAGGGACGGCCGGAGCCCCTGGGCCCGGCTCGGGCCCCTTCTCGTCCGCGGGTCCGGCACCCGCACAGCCCTCCCGGAGACCCGGACCCTCCCCCGAGTCCCACAAACGCTGCGTGGCCCCCCGCCGGGCCTCCTCCTTCTCTGCCCGGCTGACGCGGGGCCGGAGCCTGGGCTACTGCTGCTGCTGGGGCCGCCGCTGGGCGGGGCTCCGCGGATCCAGATGTGCGGCAGCTGGGGTCCCCGCGGGCTGCGCTCCGAGCCTGCCTGCGCTGCTGCTGCTGCTGCTGCTGCTGCTCCTGCTCGGCCGCTGCCGCTGCCGCCGCCGCTGCCGCCGCTGCTGCTCCTACTGCTACTGCTGCTCCTGCTCCTGCTCCTGCTCCTGCTCCTGCTCCTGCTCCGTTGGCCGCCGCTCGGGCTCTGAGACAAAGAGTCACGGCCCGCCCGGGCCCCGAGCCTGGGCCGCCCCGGCGCAGCCGCACTACGGACAGACGGCAGCCAGCCACGGCCCAGACGGACGGACTGGCCCGCGGAGGATGCGGGGAGGGCGGGGACTGGAGAGGGGGCGTGGCCGCGCTGCGGGAGGGGCGGGGCCTGCGGAAGCGCCGGGGGCGGGGCGGCAGTTACTCCCACTTCACCCTGCCCTCCGTCCCCCCCACCCCCACGGCTGGGTACCTTCAGGTTCCTACCCCAAGCTAAGTTTTAGTCATTTAGGACAGAAGTAAATATCATTTTAAAAATACATAAATATGCCATTCTTAGAATATGAACCTCATATAATTGTATCATTTGTGATTATATGCACGCATAAATAACCAACATAAACACTAACATAATATATAATATATAATTTTGAAATACTCAAATATGCAATTCTTAGAATACATATATAATGGATAATTTTATTATATCATAAATATAATAAAGTAACTAATAATGTGAATCTATAATAGATAAATGTGAAATACACAATTCTTAGAATACATATGCATATTGCATACTATTGAAATAATACAGTCATGAGGTGAGGAGAGCTTGGACCCCCTGTGGTGGCTATGTGAGTGGATGAAAGAAAGGGACTTTGGGGAGAGATGTTGGGTAGGTAGAAATGATGAAACTTGATGGTAGATTATATATGTAGGGGGAAATGGGACTGAGGAATCCAGAATGACACCAAGGTTGTTAGCTTGGGTGACTGGGAGGATTGTGGGGCCCTCAACTGTAACAGAGGAGAAATGGAAGGGTTCTGCTCCCTCTCACCTCCACCCCCAAGTGCTACTGAACATTACCTAGTAATTTACTGTTGTCTCTACAGTTAGAATGGACCTTATTTTTGCCTTTCTTTGCAAACTTATCTAGTACAGTGCTTGGCACCTAGTAAGCTCTTAAATGCCTAGAGGCTGCTGCTTATGTGCCAAAGTAGATATGATATGGTTTAGAGGTTTAGGGGTACTGGGACCCCAAAATCACAACACACGGGTCCTGCCGGAAAGAATTTGACCCGAGCCTTCTTTCAGCCAAAGACAAGGTTTATTAGAACATCCATCATATTAGGCAGACTCTTAAGGAGTCTGAACATTAGTAAACTATTGGCTAGATTTTAAGAATCTGAGCAGTGACTAGATTATAAGAATCCCAGCAGTGGCTAGATTATAAGAATCCGAGCATCTTAATGAAGACAAGGTGGACTTTATATACAGAAAGACTGTGGGAGGGACCTAGGAGTGGCCAGTAAACTGGGGTGAACAGAACTCCTGGGACCTGGACCTCGTGGCCAAGGGAGAACGGAGCCCAGCTAAACAGAGTTGGGAGATTGGGTGTAGCCACAATGAAAGGCCAGTTGATGGGATTATAGCCTCAGGCGAATGCCAGAGATTTGGCCAAGTGGGAAAGCCCAGGGTTTTTCTTTTCTGGGGTCTAGATCCCAACCCCATCAGATGTAGCAGATAGAACACTGAGCCTGGAATCTGGAATCCTGAGGACCTGAGTTCTAATTCAGCCTTAGACACTTAACTAGGTGTGTGACTCTGGGCAAGTCGCTTAACCCCTCCAAAAAAACCTATAAAAATCTATTGAGGGACATAAAAAGCAAATAAAAAGTACAAACAAACTATATATAGGATAAATAGGATATAATTAACACAGGGAAGGCACCAGAATTAAGAGAGATTGAGATCCATCCTCCCAGTCACCCAGGCTTTCAACTTGGGTATTATCCTCAACTCCTCATTTTCTCTCACCTCTCATATCCAATCTGTTGCCACAGACTGTCCATGTTAGCCAGGGCATCTGCCCTTTCTTTGTATCTCTAGTGCTTAGTATGATGCCTGGAACATAGTAGGAGCCTAATAAATGTTTATGGAATGACTGACTCAGTCTACCTCTGGTTGTGAGTAACCTCAAGGAGAAGGATGGAAGCCTTCAAAGTGGGATGTAAGGTCTAAGAAGACTGGAAAGGGATGAGGGAGTGGGGGGGGGGAGTGGGCTAGGTTTTGAAGGGGTTTGAATGCCAGAGGATTTAGTATTTAATCCTGGAGGTGATAAAGAGTGAGGTGGGTGAGGAGGTGACTGAGTCAGACCTGTGCTTTAGGAAAATCATTTTGTCTGATGAATGGAAGATAGGCCGGAATGTACAGAAACTTGTACCAGGAGAGGAACTAGCAGGTTATTGCAAATGTTCAGGTGTGAGGTGAGGAAGGTCCCACCTGGGTGGTGGCAGGATTATGGGAGAGAAGGTTCTCTCAAAGGGCTCACCTTTGAGTAAATCAAAGTATTTGCAGGTGGAGATAATGTGTAAATAACTGTGTACAAAGAGAGATAACTTGGAGATAATCCTGACTTTTATCTCTATTTCGAAGAGAAATCTTTACTCCCCTGAATGGGTGATTATTTGAAGCCAATAAGAAAAGCAGGCCTCCCTTTCTTCTGTGGATCACAGGTGTGGCTGCCTAGTAGACTAGGGGAGGGGCTGGGAACCTTTGTTTCCTCCCACTTGGAACCTTTCCCTAGCCTAGCCCAACCCGAGGGGGAGGCAGGGAGAGCTTGCCTTCTCTGAGAAAGCTGGATTTAACTGCTGAAAGAAATCATTATAATTGCAAAGATGGGTGGCCTCTTTGAGTGGAGAAGGTGGGTGCTGTGCTTATAGCCACCAATCTGCGTGCGTGTGCGTGTGCGTGTGTCTGTGTCTGTGTCTGTGTGTCTCTGTGTGTGTCTGTGTCTATGTGTCAGAGTCAGGATTTTGTTTGGATGCAGGGTTAGGGATAAGGGCTCCCTTTTGGCACAAGGTCAAGCCTTACGCTGGGCCCACTATCAGGGCTCTTTTATGGACTCCTAGCTGGACACTGAGCCTGAAGCACGGGGGAGAGATAGAGCTGTTTCCCTCTTACCTCTAGGATCAAATATAAAAACCTCTGTTTCCCATCCTGGTTCTCCCCTAGCTTTCCAGTACTCCCACTTCCACCCCATCCATGGACTTTAGGGTCCAGCCACACTGGCCTCCTTCTCATTTCCCATCTCCCTTCTCTGTGTCCTTATGTTAGTTATTGCTCAAGCCTGGGATGCTCTCCTCTGTCTCTTAGGAGCCCTATTTTTTCCAAGATTTCACTCAAATGCCTTCTGCTGGAAGCCCTTCTGAGTCCCCCCATCTCCTGCTGCCAAGTGTTTTCCCTTCCAAGGTTGCCTGGTATGTTTGATACATACGCATGTCCTCTCCCCTGTGAGAAAGTAAACTCTCTGAGGGCTGGAATTGTTATTATTTTAGTATCGATATCATTAAACATTGTCAAGCCCCTATGTGCTAGGCACTAAACCAAGCACTGGGGATACAGAAGGAGGCAAGAGACAGTCCCTGCCCTCAAGGAGCTTACTATCTAATGGAGGAGCTGCAGGCTGGAATTATTTTTGCTTTTTCTTTGTAATTCTATACCTTACCACAGTTCCTGGCACACTTAATACATGCTTATTGACTGTTTGGACTGTTCAGCCATCAGTGGGAGGCATTATCATGTGAGCAGTGAAGGTCAAATTCAAATAGACTGGGTGGCCGTTAAGCCATACAGAAGAATCCCTGTGGGTAGCATATGGACATAGAAAATCATGTTAATATTATCTGTTTTATTGTGTTTTTATTCATTTTGTTAAATATTTTTCAATTATATTTTAATCTGGTTCCTGTCTTAGTAGGGACTGTTGTAGGCCATATTTTGATTCCTCTGTGGTAGATACACTGAACTTTATCCTCTAAGCAATAGGTTCCCAAAGTAGGTAATACTGCCCCTGGGGGGCACTGAAATGATGGAGAACAGTCCAGGTAGTAGCCTCAGGTGCAATTGGGGGGTGTTGAATAAAAATAAGGGAGAAGTGGAAGCATAAATAAAGGAGAAAATTTTGAAAAACTGTTCATATGTGTTTTATCTGTTGTGTAACAGTTCAAGTACTTTTGATTACATTATTTTCCAAATAAACACACAAAATGCAAGTTATAACCAGTCAGTGGTCAAGTCTGACCACAGGTCTT